GACTGGATCATCAGCGTTATCATGTTCTCCGTTGTAACTGTAACGTTTACACCGGTGAACATGGCATGCCTCTCCAAGTCCCATCTACTACAGGCAAAGAGGTTGTGCTCTGCGTTGTCCACAGAGAACTGGCAGTAAGCACACTCCTCACTATCTCTTTTCTTAAAGCGCTGCAGATACGAGTTAAAACACCCGTGACCTGTCAGCGCTTGCGTCAGGTACTAGGAGACCTCTCCAGGGTTCTTACTTAACTAGGTAGCGAGTGTCGGTATAAGGCGATAAGTCCATCGACCTTTTACCTCCCCGTCCCATCTCTCCTGCTATTTTTCGACGAGCCTGTGCCTGGCTTCGAAGTGGATGCGGTCAATGCTGGGTCGATCTTCCTCTTCCGAGGAATTCGCCTCTATGAGAAGGAGGATAATTTCCTTCCTCTTAAGCGCCAAAAGATCTGCTGGCGGGACACTTGCAAGGACCTGCACAGCGCTCGTAGATACTGTCCAATAAGCAGAGACGATACGCGAAGTAATGCATCTCTGCGCGGACAGCATCTTACTGCGGATGGTAGAACATCTATTCGTTTTCAGGGTGGTGCTGCGTAAAGCAACTTAGCGTGGGCGACACTCGCCACCAGTCTCCTTTTCCTTTCATGGGGGCCTCCAACATTTGGCATCACCCGTCTAAATTAGCCGCACACTCTATCGCCTTGTTTGACGCCGTAACCATGTGTTCATGGAAGTTTATTTTTCCTTCAAGTTCTACACCTAGGTACTTAATCTATCTCCTCCACTTGACCTCGAATTCGTCTATCACGATTTTGTGACCAGCAATGCTTCGGTCTTTTCCAGGGCCATTTGAAGACCTCTGGTTATCAGCCAGCATTTTGCTAGGCGCAGACATTCGTTCACCAATGTCCCCAAAGCTACCGCCGATTTGTCAGTGCACACGATCAACGCGTCGTCCGCAAAGAGTCTCCTTCGTAAGTAACCCACCTGTCGCTAAAATAATTTTCCATTATCCGCAACAGGTAGGGCGATATACTTTTCTGTATCATCGACTCGATGAGATCTTCCCATCTTGCGGATTTGTACGCGTTCCGTATGTCAATTGCTACCAACGCGCAGAAGCTCTTCATCTCATCTGGGCCGAATTTGTTTTTCCTTTCTCTGGCGAGGTCCAAAACTGCCTTAATGGCATCAACTGTGAACCGACATTTGTGGAATCCAAATTGTTATTCGGATAGACTATTCTCTCCAGTCAAGTGAGATTGCATTCTCTGCAGAACCATGTCCTCTGGATGTTTGCCTATTGTATCCAACAGGCATATAGGACTATAGGATGAGACCTTATCTAAAGGTTTGTCACCCTTTCTTAGGAGGACCAGCCTTTGCCTCTTCCAGTCTGGAAAGAACTCTTCCTCTTTCTAGACAGTGATTGAAGATGTCTAGCAAAATCTGGGGCGAAGCAACAATCACATCTTTTAGTATCTTGTTGCTTATCCCATCGATTCCAGGCGCCTTGCCCGTCTTCAATCTTTTGCCTGCTGCTTCTAATTCTTCAAGAGTAACGAGTTCTTCCTCTTTGACTTCGCAAGAACTCCAGTCCTTCCTAAGCCATGGCTCTGCAGAAGGAAACAGGGCTTTTATTACCTTTCTGACCCAATCGGGATTGTCCAGGCCGGGGCTCTTTTGCCTCGTTATTAATTTCTTAGTAACGATTTTAAAAGCCAGACCCCAAGGGTCCTTCTCGAGGTCCTCGATTAGGTCCTTCCAGCTACGGCGTCGCGACGCACTAATCTCTTTGCTGAGGTTCTTTTTGGTCTCCTTGTATGCTTCCTTGAGCAAAGGATCTCTCTTAGATTTGGTATAAGTCCTTCTTGCTCTGAAACATGCCATATAATTTTTACAGAAAGAGGAAAAAAAGGGACTTTTGGAAGGTTCGGTATAATATATGCAATAATTTCTATTGGGGTATTGGGATTTATTGTTTGGGGTCATCATATGATTACAGTTGAAATAGATGTTGATACACGTGCTTATTATACATCAGTTACAATAATGATTGCGGTTTAGACAGGAATTAAAGTGAATTATAGTCAAATTTTAAATGTTATACATTAACTGAAAATAAAAGAGTATCTAATAATGAAAAAGAATTAAAAAATTTGGCTTCTACAAGTAGGAAATTGAAAATTTAACAATACGTTTGAAGAAAATAATGAAGTAGTATAATTACCTAATGAAATAATATGTAATGATGATCTAATTACTGAAATTTATGGAAAATCTATAGACTAATTTCAATGTGATATACAAGAAAAAGTAATATAAGCACCAAGAAATAATTATGCATTTAAACTAAATAATAATGTAGTTGAACGAATGACCAGTAAATCTAGAGAAAATTTAAGTATTGTGATATCCGCTGGGGGCGTGGCTTAGCATATTATCCTACTTTCAGTAGAACAATTTTTCACCACTATGTCTGAAAGTTACTCTGATTGGTTTAAACTGGACAAAAATTGACAAACATCCTACTTTCAAGGGTTAAGAATGTTTTCAACAGAGAGCGCTTCACAGTAACGGACATCCCAATAGATTCATCTGAAGAAGATGAAAAGTGTGACACAATAACTAACTTAATACCAATTGAAGTATTAACTACTGTAACTCCAAATGGACTTTCTCCTCACAAATTAATATTAAAGATTGGTGCATTTGTGATACTTTTAGGCTTTGATATCACTTCATTATCATCAAATATTATGGAAAGAGTTACACAAAACAAAGGTTATCTCATAATAACAATTTTAATTATTTTTATTTATTTTATTTTATTTGAAAATAAGTGATAACAAGAAAGAGTATATTTCTAAAATTTACTATGTTAATTATCATTTTAATGAATTTACTTTTTAAAGTAGAAACAAGAAAGCGAAAAAGGCCTCGAAGTCTAACTAAAAATTTACAAGCAAAAAAGGCAATTCGGCTAGATAATTATGAAAACAGTACAATTGAAATGGACGAAAATGAAACGTATTCAAATAAAAGTTAGTAAGATTCAAATGATAATCTGTATTGATGTTAACATCACTTAACAAAAATCTATTGCAATTTAATACTTATATTTATAACATTTTGCAGAGCAAGGTAATCAAAATGTTTTTATAAAAAAAATAAAATTAACTGTCAAATACATCCATATAAAGCAGTCGATACTCGTAAGCAAAATTTAATTTTTGCTAAATAAAATGTGTACTTTATTTATCAACAATGAATTTTAAAAATGGCCGATCCAAAATGGACGACTAAACATAAACTTTTGTTAATCTTTTCGAAACATATTTTCTAAGGGTTTTTCGAGTCGGTGATTACGAATCTGAAATCAGCTTTTCAACATTCAAAATGTCGGATCCAATATGTTGAATCTTGCAGAAATTCATCTTAATTAATTTTTTAGTATATGTTTATTTATAACACAAATTATTATTAGACATTTATATTAAATAAACTTGGATAAGTACGCATTCAATTTCAAATGCACGTGTGATTACACGTATTACAATTCTTGAATTTTCGAAGAAGTTTCAAATTATCAAATACACGCGTAATTACACGTGGAATTTATTGAAAAATGACTTTCAAATTAAAAGTATGAATTACAAGTGTAATTACACATGAAGAAAATCTGAAAGTAATGAGTATTTTTTCTCGTAGCACTTTTTTTGACAGTAAACAGAGTTTCGTTTCATATTAGTTGACAACAGATTATTCAGAACTACAAATGTAGCAATAAATTCTTTGCTCGAAGTCGTAACTGCTGTTCTCACACCTCTGAGTACTGTGTAGAATTATTTTTTAGAATTTAGAATACAAAGGAACGTTTAACGTAAATTAAAAAGAAGATAGTCATGGTTATTTTTTCTTTTCAAATATTGATTTTAATTCAAATGTTTATAAACAGTTAATGAATAACAGATATAAAGAAATGAAGACTTCAAAAAGTCTTTTTAAGAACAAACGCTTTTTTTTAATTTTTCAGTTATATAGCAAATAAAGTTATTATACAATAATGAAATAATAAACAATTATTTTTAAAATGAATTATTATTGGTAAATTTTAAATATTTATTTGTATTTCACAAGTTTTTAGATTTTAAGATTTCTTAGCTAATATGAAATTACAACCTAATTAAAATTTATAGATAATTATGATTAAAAAATATTAAGTTTCAACATTATTATTTTAAATATTTATCTCGTAAAGTAAAAAAAACATTATTTCTTACGTTTATTAATAAAAAGTAATTTGTTTAATATTATTAAAGTTTATTACTTCTTATTTAATTAAATATAAATAATTTTAGTCAAATAATCTGTTTTTCATAAAAATATAAGAAAACATCTAAAATTGATTAAAATTGTCTTGAACGCTTGTTTAAAATTGTTATTTATTTTTTATTAAAGGTTAAATGTTCTTTTATTTTTTTAATCCTAAAAAATAATTCTACACAGTAATCAGAGCTGTGAGAAAAGCAGTCACGACTTCGAGCGAAGAATTTATTGCTATATTCCTAGCTTTGAAAACACTGTTGTCCATTAATATACACCGAAATTCTAATAACTGTCAAAAAAATAGTGCTTATTTTCTGCAGAGCATTGAGTGCTGGTCAGAAAACATTCAGAGTTTTGGAATTTAATTTTTTAGTTTCCACAGTAGCCGGTGATGTAAGAAAAAATACTCAGTGCTTTCAGATTTTCTCCGTGCATGTAGCCAAACCTACACGTGTATTTTTTCAATAGGGTATCCAGCTCCTTTTTATGACTTTTTGAGATAATGCTTTTTAGGAATAATAATAATATAATTAATATAATCCATATAATCCTTTATATGGAATATGAGAAAGAGACCTTTTCAATATTAATTAAAATAAGTTTCAAAATCTTAACAATTTTATGATTTGATTTGCAAGAGTCGAATAATATTATTTAAAATATACTTACATGGATAAATGAATTAAAATACATCAGTTGCTCTGCGGCAACAGTTAAATCACTTTTAGCTAGCGAATATAGAGAATCGTTCATTCTTTGTATTTGTTCATTCAACCGTACAGATACTATACTAGCTGAATAGTAATTAAAAATTAATAAGCTGAATAGCATCATTACAAGAAAACCTATTCTGCCATTTAAATTCTCTGGACAAACAGCTGATCCTGTATAAATATAAACTGTCATTACATGAGAATAACAATCAGGTGAGGTGGGGACCAATTCTTGTCATTAGCAAAGTCAGAGTCGTTTCGAGGTGTGATGTCATAAAGCTATGGGGGCAATAAAGGAGATGGCATGTTATAATTTGGTAAATTGTCGCCCTATGTAAGTGTAACAAATCCCTAAAGTATTATCAAGAAAATGTAAAAAAACAAATTTTTTTACTCTTTTTTTGTTTTCTCAAAAACCCATTGTTGGCCCAATTTAAAAAATTCGTAGTTTTATTGGGAAATATAAGCCTTTTAAAAACAATATTTTAAATTTGAAATCCATAAAGTTTTAAGAGAGTTATTTGGTTTTAAAATGCGAATGTCACATAAAACATCACACCCTCACTACTTTGTACAAATTTTATTAAAATAAGCTAATATTTTTGAGATTTGTTACACTCATATAAGGCAATAATTTACGAAAGTTACAATACAGTTAAGTAACTTTGAACTTTTGAACTGGACAGTTCAAAAATTATACGCTATATATTATATAACAACCATGTAATCGGCATATTATAAAAAAAATAAAAAGAAAATACTAGCGTAGTCCAGTCAAGTTAGCAGTTTTAGATGTTTTAACTCAGGACCACAATTTTTTTTGCTTAATCACTTCATTTTGGGGTATAAATAAAATACCTAAATTTTGTTCTCCAAACACCAACTGTAACATAAAATTTGTTTAGGAAATAGATGGAAAAAAGTAAAATTGTTAATATTAACAGTAATAATAATTACAGATTAAAAATATTAATATATTCGGTATTTTGGTCATTAGGTAAAATTGATTCGAGAAAATGACCGGGAATCATATATATATGACCAATTCCATGGGATGTGATCACAAGAATTTTTGATGATTGGAGCAATTTTATTGAAACCTTGTGAATATGTTCCTTTATTCGTACAGAATGAAAGCCCACAAACAATTTTTCAAAATTTTTTGAGATATCTCTAATTAAAAATTTATGTCATTTTTTTAAAAAAACCATGTAACTTTTTTTCTTGTCATCCAAATGAGATCAATTTTTTTTTCAAATTTCTCACAAAAAGATGCTATTTTAAGAAAAAAATAGTTCATGAAAAAGAACATTTTTTTTGCCCGGAAAAAAGTCAAAAAAAATTTTGAATTCATTTTTTGAAAAAACTACTGTTACGTCCCGAGCTAAGGCGAGGGTGGTTTTTATTAATTAAAAAAAAGGGGAGGTAAAGTGCTGATTTATCAAGTTGGTAAATCTTGATATTTATTTTTATGTGGATTCGTGTCACTTTATAAGAACAAGGGTCCTTTGTAAATAATATTATGCATATTCCCTTTTAAAATGAACAATTTATTTAACAATAATGATTTAAAATATAATTTTACTTACAATGTTGAAGTTGGTTCTGGATTGTTACAATGCAACCGGCTTTACACAATTGTATCGTAGGCTGACAATAATTAAGTTCGTTATTTAGCACTAATGCACCAACGACTATTTAATACTATTTATGAGTTACTTCTCGACACTGTACCTTAATACAAAAAGAAACTTGTTTCCTTAATAATCGGAAGTAACTTTCATAAAATAATATTATACGACAATCGAAATAAATGAACTTATAAAATTCAATGAAAATTACCTTCGATCTTATATAAATTATATGAAACAAGACTCTTTTTATTAACGCTGATTTAAAAGTACAATTTCACGATTGAAGGGCCGACTCAACGATACTGTTCGGGCAGAAACTCACCGGAGTTATATGACAACTATAAGCCTATTAACAGTAGTTTATATACTTTTTTAAACAATGAAATAATCTAATTTAATTATGATAAAAATTGTAAGATCAAAAGGTTATTCAATGTGTTTTTTAGTTAATACAATTACCTATTTTAATTATTATTGCAATTTTTATCTTCGATCAAAGTTTATCATCTCATGACATACTTTCTTATATATTTACTATATTATAAATATGTTCCTTCTCAAAAAGGTACGAAAAATAGGTTTGTTCATTATTATTTAAATCTTTCCATTAGTTATTGCGCAAACGTTAAGCTACTGTTGAATTATTTGTATATAAATTACTTTACTGAGAATGTGATATTCTTTAATATCGACGCCTCATAATTAATTCTAAGTTGATCAATTATCATACGGGTTGATAACGCATCGACTGCAGTGAAGAAGAGCAATGCTAATTATGGTCGATAATATTAAACAACGCATGTAGATCATTTCTTTAAAAGATGTATACACACATACACATACATACATACACCATATACATATCTATATACTTTTCTTTTATGAAATTTTTAATTTTAAATACTATATATTAATTACATTATAATAATAGTTATCCATAAGTCTAATTATTATGTATATTATGTGTATATATATGCATACATACGTAAAAAAAACTATTTTTAAATAGTCGGGATGTAACAACTACCTCTTCGTTTTTAAAAACTTTTTTTCTACTTAATGCCTATGATGTTAAGAATAACTTCTCTAATTTTCATAATGGGACAGCAAGAACTTTGCGAGATAAAAACTAAAACGTCCCGTGCGGTGCGACGGGACGCGTGCATCTTAGTTCTCACGTCCATTATATAGTATGGAAACTTGCAAATATCTCGAAAAGTACGAATTTTCGTAAAAAATGTTCAAGACAAAAGTTGTTCCAAACAAAAAGATCTACATATTTGACATAAATTTTTAATTAGAGATATCTCAAAAAATTTTGAAAATTTTGAAAAATCGTTTGTGGGCTTTTATTCTGTACAAATAAAAGAACATATTCACAAGGTTTCAATAAAATTGCTCCAATCATCAAAAATTCTTGTGATCACATCCCATGGAATTGCTCATATATATACTAGGGAGGCTTCGCGCGCCAACCCCCTGTTTTTTATTGTTTTTGTAGATGTTTGAGTTAATGTTTGGCCAATTTCTGGAATTTAAAACTATTATTAATATTTTATTATTTATTTCTTTAAATGTTATTCGCAATTTTTATTAACAATAATTTGTATTATTTTCAAATTTTTAAAATAAAATTAATCTTTGATATTCATTGTCTCGAAAACAAAAAAAATCGGCATTCTGAAAATTTATATACAGATCGGAAAAAACCTAAGCTTTCGTTTGCAATTATTTATTTTTAAAAGAATCGCATCGATTTTAGTGAAAATATCAAATTTATGTTTAATTATAGAAAATCAAGATCAAAATTCAAAAAATTTTAAAAAACGAAATTCACCATTGGAAAGAGCATCAAAAAACCTTTAAAAAACATACCTGACAAAATTTTTTTTATTGCATTTATAGACAGAAAAAATTCATATAGTAGGCGGTGTAAGGGAAAACTGATAAAATTGAAAATTTGAGAATTTTCATGTCTTTTAATTTTTGAATGCTCATAAAGTCTTTTTTTTAAATGTGTGTTTTTAAACGTACTTTTCAAAAAGAAATCGAAATTTTTTTTAAACGATATTACTATCAAATTTTTGAATTTTAATGATAAAAAGTCATTTTTCTCATTTGACGTACTGATCGATTTTTTTAAAAATTTTTTCAAAAAAACTACTTTTTACAAAACTTTTAACCCCTTGACTGCCGACGAGATTTCCACTATTTGGGCCAAAAGTGTGTTGAAAAAAATTTTGATGCATTTTTATGAATCTTGGTATCTTAAGGTTTTCATGGTCGCTGATTACGAACCTAAGGTCGGTTTTTCAAAATTGAAAATGGTGGATCCCATATGGCGGACGACAATTTAAAAATATAATGCAATTCGCTTGAAAATGGGTACTCGGGGGTTTTTGGGATCACTGATTACAAATTTGACATCAGATTTTCAAAATTAAAAATGGCGGCTTTAATATGATAAAAAAATTGATCGGATTCGCTTAGAACTCATTGCTTATCAATTGTTGGTCTTTCTGATTACGAATATTACATCGGCTGCTCACGTAGTCCTGTACTTTTATTTCTATAGACCAAATCCCCACTTCTTCTCGGATCTATGTCCAGTTTTTGCAGCAAGGTGTTCATACACTTGAAGAGGATTCAGAATAATTCATATAATACAGGATAATTCAAAATAATTCACGATATTCGGAATCAGCGACCCCGAAAACCCCTGAGTAACGAGCTTCAGTCGAATCCGATCAATTTTGAAAAATTTTCCGCCATAATGGATCCGCCATCTTGAATTTAAAAAAACTGATATCAGAGTCGTAATCAGCGACTCCGAAACCCCCTGAGTAAACATTTTCAACCGAATTGTATCATATTTTCAAATTGTCGTCCGCCATATTGGATCCGACATTTTAAATTTTGAAAAACCGACCTCAAATTCGGAATCAGCGATCCCCAAAACCCCCGAGTAACCAGTTTCAGAAATATTTGAGATGTTTTTCATCACTTTTTTTAAGTTGCGCATATATGCGTAAAGAGCACTTTTGGAAAGTTTTAGTTTTACGCATATATGTGTCAGCGACAGGCAACGGGTTAAGCCTTGTCCGAAAATGGGGAAACGATTTTTACAATATTTTCCGAACTTTTTAAAAATATTTTTGGTTTTTTTTATACTACGCTCTTTTTGTATTTTGATGCGCTGATTACGAAAATCATAGTGACAATACTCAAAAATTTGATTTTTATGGTGAAAACCATAAAAAAGTCCCAAAATATGACCTAGACTCATTTTACCATCAGGCATGCGACCCTCACGCGTGCGACTCACATGCGTCGCATATGAGACGTATCTGTTTGGTCCAGTGAGAACACGCGTGCGGATTAAGAGCATTTGAACCTTCGTGACGTCACAAATCATGGCGCATGACACGCAAACTTCTCAGGTATGTGAAAAGCACAATTTTGAATATTTTTTAAAAAAACCTTTTGGAAAATGTTCAGAATAACATAGACTCTGTCTGTTATGTGCGGAAAATTCAA